TGTGTGTGTGTGTGTGTGTGTGTGTGTGTGTGTGTATGAATGAATGTGAGAATAAATTTGAGATTGAATGGAATGTTATAACTATAACTAACTGCTTACTATGATTCTTTCTGTATTCACAGTAAATGTGGTATTTTGCCTTTTTCCCTTTAATAAGATCCTGCTGGTTTTTATTTTATTGGTACAACACATACAAACTGGTGGACTCTTCACTGAGGTCTTAATTTGTATTTTCCTTCTCATCTTCTGCAAGGTATTTTAACCTCTGGTTTGCTGTGGTGAATTAGTTTAGGGCCAAATAGTGCCTGGCCCTTGTATGAGGTCACCGTTGGAGAGGCTGCAAGAAGCATTCTCCCTGTTTAAGCCCTCCAGACAGGGCCAGGCACAGTTGCAGTTCCTGCATTTTCTTACAGTACGACCCACCTCCAAGGGAGTGGGGATGAGATAAGGCCATGACAGGTCACATGCTATCAGATGGGTAGGGTAGTTCATGCATACTACACCCTTCTACAGGGATGGTGAAGTAGGTGTGCTTCCTTTCTCGGCTTGCACAATGGACCCCAGACTTCTCCCTGGGAGCTGCAGACCTGTAATGTATTGACACAATCTGGCCCCAGGCTAATAGTTATGCTACATCTGTCTAATATATACCTATGTACATCTAATACCTATCATTGCACTACAGGACCTAGGCAGCATGAGTCAATTATCTAGTAGTGGATTGTCTTCCTCCTTAGCTTCTTCAATTCACAGTAAGCAGGTAGTAGTAACAACAACAACAAAACTCAAAACAAACAAAAAACCTGGGCTCTCACAGTTCATAAAGAAGTGAAAAGCAAGTTTTTCATTTTATCTTCAGTAGGTTGAATCACCTTTCTTTCCTATAATATTGTCTCACTAAGCAAATATGTGAGCATTGTGTGCATTTCACCATTCTTCCTGTTAAATACAAGCAGTAATTCTTGAAGTACTTTATGCTTCATCTTTTGAAGAGTTTTAATGCTAGTGTAGTTCATGTAAGCCAGAATCATAGAAACAGGTGGGAATTCTTTATGGTCAGGCAATCTGGAGCAAGTACCTGGAACAAAAGTCTAATTATAGGAGTACCAAATTAAGTACAACAGTTTTAGTGTTTCTGATATGAAGTAGTAAAAGAAAAAAGTGAGGTGGATTCTGAAACTTCAGGTGTGAATGCTTTCCACAACTAAGCCAGGGATTTAGGATTTGCTCCAATTCCCATTGAAGATAATAGCCAAATTCCTATCAACCATGGGAGCAGGATCAGCTTAATTCATAAACGTGCCCTGTTGTTTTTAATGGGAGTCACGTGAATTAAATTTTGTTTAATGCTTTGGAAGCATTTAGGGCAAGTTTAAATCAAATTGTAATTTTTATGCGTTAATAGCCTTATTCTTCAGCTTGTTAATGCTGCTACCTCAGGGTGTTTACTCTTGGCTATTAGTGCAACTTAGAGGTTTACACTACTGAGAATGAAATAGGCAACTCTTAAAACAAAGTGTTTGAGGTCATAAACATTATAAAATGGGACTCCATAAAGAGATACATTTTAAAAAAATGCAAAATGGTCGTTTCATTCTTGGCAGGGTTTGTTTCAGAGGAGTAGCACGTAGTTCAAAGAGCACTTAATAAGCAGCTGCAGCCAAAGGAGGATTTCAAACCAGGGGGAGCCCACTTTCCTGGTCTCCCTCTCTCTCTATATTGTGGCTGTGTACGTGTCATATAACTGAATTGTGTGGGGTGAAAGGTTACAGACAACCAGTACACAGCACACTGCACAAGAGTGGAGGGAACTGAAATGTTGACCAAAAACACCAAGGTTAACCCCTTCTCTTACAAAAAGGGTTAAAGGATCTTCAATGTTCATGCAAAGCAGATAGATTCCCTTCCAATATACATAGCAGCAGCACCACAAAGCAAAACAGGGAACCAAAGTGACTGTATTCCATTGTTCTGTACATAATCCTGGATTTGAGGGCAAATTCAATAGTGTAGTCATAGTATAATATATATGTACCTCGTTCAGTCAATCTGATTGTTCACTCAGTTTTTCTCAAGTGTCTGTGCAGTCCTTTGGATGCAAGCACAAAATGTGGCATGCAGACAAGAGTTAAAATGCAGTGACCAAGAAATCAGAATCTTCAAGTATGTCCTAGTGAGACAAATAGAAATGAAAATGGAACAATTATCTTAGAAGATAAAGATGTAGAGATTTTTTTTTTATCTCCAGTTGAATCTTATGCACCTCTCTCTTCACTGCTAGATGTTGCTGCTAGCCTAATGGTAAAATATCACGGCTTGAAAGGACCACCTCCAGGTGTTAAGTAGTCCATCCTCAGCATTCAGTCATGTCTTAATCTTTCTGCTGAGACTGCTTGTGAGGGTGGTTATGATTTTTTGTGCTGTAGACCCAAACCCACTTTAAACTGAGTGGAGATAACCAAATGTATGCAATGTTGTAGCTGTGTTAGTCCCAGGATATTAGAGAGATGGAACAGATTGTTTAGCAAAAGTAGTTAACACATTCACCTTGAATAGTCCCCTGAAATATGTGTTAACTATTTATGGTAAACAATCTGTTCCATCTCCTAGTTAGCGGTGACACTCTGAGTAAGGCATGTTTACACTACACAGCTTTTAGCCACATGGCTGTGTCACTACAGCCGTGCCACTAAAAGTTGCGCAGTGTAGCCACTGTTTCTCAGCTCTCCTGCTGACAAAAAAACATTCACCCTCAACAAGCGGAATTTGCATTTTCGGCAGGAGAGCGTTCCTGCCAACAACGTGCTGTTCACACTGGCGCTTGTCGTGGAAAAACGTTTCTTTTGGGGGGCGGGGGAGTAACGCCTCTGAAAGACAAAAGTTTTGTCATTCAATTGCCAGGGTAGACACAGCCTCAGTTTCCCAGACCTGAAGAAAAGCTTTGTGTAAGCTCTGGAAATGATCCGTCATTTCACACTAATTATCAATATGCCTCAGTTGATAAAAGCTGTCAGCCAAGAGCAAAAAGATTCTGCGTCCCATGCCCTGAGCATTTACTGCACTGTAAAAATAATTTTATTTTAATAGTTTCCAAAAATGTATGTAAACCAAGTCTGCAGTGACAGGCCGAGAAGATGAAGATCAAAAAAAGGGGATTTCCAGAAACTTTTAATGTAGAGTGTTGGTGACCAAACTCTTCACAAGTCTGTATGCTTAGCCACCTGCTCTTCCAAAATACTTTTATTATGAAATTAAATGTCAAACATTTATTGATTTCAGGAATGTACATTTTATTGGGATTTTTTTGCAAAGATGATTTTAAAAACAGGAGATTAAATATTTAGATTTGTTCAGCAGGCCCTAGTGGCCTTATTTATATTATTCTCTATTTTGGAGTGGGTGAAGGGAGCCCTATAAAACATAATGCCTTTACAAAACAATCTTTATTTTTTACTAGATTAGTTTTAATGGGTATAATTTTTAATTTAGAAAACAAAAGTGGCACTGTAGTACTTAATAGGTAACTTAAATGGGAAAATAGATCATTTTGGGAGTTAACCACTTCCTTACTGGTGTACTCTTCATAGTTTAGCAGATAAAATAGAAACCGCCTCAATGCCAACATTTATATATAAAAACATAAACTTCACTAAAGTTAGGCTCCTAAATAAGTGACCTGATTTTTCAAATGTGCTGAGCATCCAACAGCTCCCCATAAAGTTATTTGTGTGTCAGTTTTGGATAAATCCCTTTAACAGAATAGAAGGAGACCGACTGTAAAGGATATATGTATTGGGATTTTTTCACACTGACCATAAAATGTCATCATGTGCTCCACACACATTCATCAGGCAGGACTTTGATCTGCCAGTGAAAAAGATGTTCTCCATTTTTTCATAAGAGATGGATCTGAGCTACAGAATTCAGATTTGGATTAGAATCTAAAATTCTCCAAATCCAGCTCTTTGAATCTGACCATCTCTTCTTTTCCCCACTCCTCTATTCTCTATAGAGCAACATCCAACACAGCTTTTTCTTTTTGATTTTTTTCTGTTGTCCTGCACATAATTGATGGTTTCAGAGTAGCAGCCGTGTTAGTCTGTATTCGCAAAAAGAAAAGGAGTACTTGTTAGTCTCTAAGGTGCCACAAGTACTCCTTTTCTTTTTACATAATTGATGGGGAGTCATCTATGATGTTGGCAGAAGTCTGGTGTCAGAGTTTTAGTTAATTTGTGTTCCCTCTTTTGGATTATTGTCGCTGTAGCAGCAAAACAATAATATTTCTGGGTCATTCATTGACAGGAATTATTGTCTCTCTTACAGTTTCTGTAATTATATTTCCCGCAGAGCGTAAAATATTGCTCAAGTTTTGAATCTTGGCTTTGTGATTGCATCCCTTTAAATACATGGGGCTCAATCTTGCACGACTTACATGAGTAGTCCAATAGGAGTCAATGCTATGAAGTCAGCTGGACTGTTTACATGGTTAGAGATAACTCTTATGTGTAATGCTTACAGGATTGAGTCCTTGATTTATAAAGAAGATTTAGATTTTAGATGTTACTTAGTTTAAAACAAAAGACGTGGTGGGATTTCCAAAGGTTCTGTTTAACTTTCTACAAGAATCATAATGAATATTACTAGTAAAACGAAAGGTGAAGTTTCAAGAGTGTAGTGTGTGAATATGCTGATTCAGCAATTTCAGCAGTAGTGTGAAGATCATATTGCAGTGGGTCGGCCACATTTGAATTTAAAGACAACTGTGACAGTGACCAACTGCTTTGCAATGGGGAACGGGTGATGTAAGTTGACACCTTAAAGCAGTCCATATCATTCAGTGGTAGTCTGTTCTGGCAGGTCTCCACTATGAGGTGACACCATTTAAAGATGTTTTCAGTTGGGTGGAAAAAATAAAATACAGAATCTAGCTAGAGAGAGGAAGTGGACGAATAAGAGAAACTAAAAATGTGAGGTTCTTTATTCAATGTCTTTTTTTCTAGGTTCTACATGGGAGAAAACGTTACGACAGATCGGTTTTGAAAGGTAAGCAGTGAATTTATCTCCTACGCATGTTACATCTTAAAATACAAACAAAAAAAGAGACGTGCACACACAGGTTGGCAGAGTTATTTATGTTAATTGACCTACATTATCTGGGATGTCAAAGTTAGGGGGAGTGATATGCAGAGTTACTGATATGTTCACAACTTTCGTTTTTAACTATATCTGTGATCATCATGGAGCACAAGGTTCTTTTGTAAATCTGGCTCACAATCATTTCAGCTGGGAGCAATATAATGTATTAGGGTTAAAGTAGGCTTCATAGAGTATTTGGTTTGAAGTCTTACCTCTGAATGAAGGTATCACTGCTTTCCCATATTTTTCATAAGACTTCTGAACTATGGCATATTAACTAATGTGGAAAAGGAACACGATTGGCAAAGCGCTATTTAACATCAGAGAAAATCCGGAATTCAGCATTCCTGAAGTGCAAAGGCTTCTTTCAGCCAAACATAACCATAAGGTCGTCATACCAGAAACATATGTCTCTCATGGAACTTAAACTAGGCCAGGCCTTGCTAAAGAGTAATCTGTTCTCAGGGCTGGAAATACTCAGTCCCCTGTATGCCCATCTACAAACATGAAGCAGAGTAATCTGCTTCCTGTCCATATATAGAGCTCTGATCTTCTGTCTAAACCAAATATTTCTAGACTGCACAAGAGTGTGCTAGGGCAAGGCATGGGGGCACTATGAACACGACTAGATATGTATGAGAGAAGGGGAGTGTTGTCTTTTAACATTAAGCGTAGACTGACTGGTGCTAATAACATAGATGGCCTTTTCAAAGCCAGGGTGACGTTGAGGAGAGGAAAGCCTTTCCTTTTCATGTCTCCACCTAGTATCATCTTTCTAGCTGCTCTCACTTTTATTGCCTTGTTGGTTAATTTAAACAACTTGCCTGTATTTAAGTTAATGGCTAATTCATTGAACCAGAATGAAACTATTCTGCACAAGGCATAAATTGGTGCCTTAGAGCTTTTCTATTACAATAAAATTTATCTTTAAATTTAAACCTCTCCCTTGATTAAAATCCTCAGACATTAATAACAATAAACGAAAGGCGGCTCTGTGTCATTCTTGTCTAAAAGCATTCCACTTCACTAAATCCTCCTGAGCACATAAATTGACTGAACGCTGAACCACTGTAGTATCAGCAAATGTAAGGGGTGGATCAATACTACCATTAAACAACTTACCCTCAGGACTTCAAGGACAGTGGTCCCAGAGTCATTCCCCAGATTTATTCTTAAGGCTCAGCATTAGAAGTTATTTGGAAATAGAGGCTCTGAAAGTTGTCCACACATTTGTCTACAGCTTCATTTTTCTTGAAGTTTACAAAGAGCTGATGATACCCTTACTGATCTATTTGAAAAAAAAAATTTTTGAACCCATCTTCATTGTATGAATTTAACAAAGTGTAGGCCTGTTGTATTTCTTCTGTGGTATATTTAATTATATATGATTTCAATGGTAGGCTTAATTCTGTAAAGACTGGAGGATCACAGACAGGGTGTTTGTACTATTTTTGGCAGGGGACAATTCAGGGAAAGGATTAATTTTAATTTTAATGCCTTCAGAATATTAACTATGTGCAGGGTATATGTTGAAACACTATGTTTCCGAGAAGTTAAAAGGACTGAGGGGAAGAAGTTATAATTTTGAATCTTTGCAGCGGTAAAAGTTACTTTTTGATTGGTACTGATTTGCCTTTTTAGTTTCACAGGCGATTGCTGGTTGAGATGTAAAGCTGCACTCAACCACAAAGGAGCTGCTTGAGCTTCTGACAACATATATAAATGGCATTGCTAAAGAATACCATAGGTACCAGTTGAAGTAACATGATTGAATGTTCACTGAAGAAGTAACTAAGGATTCATGGCAACATATGTATTTTAGTAATGCATTTTAATTTTCAGCCCCTTGAAGAGAAATTGTCAATTTAATGCACTGAATAAATTAAAACAAAACAAACCACCCATCACCAAATTAAAAAAAATGGGCCAAATTAATCTCTTGGATAAATCATTTATATTATTATACCTATTATGAGTTTGGTCCAACATTTTTAACCTGCCAGAAATATTGATTGCATTGTCCCATATTTTTAACAAGAGTTAAACAGGAAATGTGGGAGATGAGATGGTTTACCAATAATTTAGTAGGTAAACAATCATTCTGGCCTGCAGAAGTCTCACTTGGCCAACCAACCCTTTAAGGGAAGACAGTCTATGTAATGGTTCAATAAGGCTGTGAATTACTTTTTACACTTTTAGTGAGGATTTTATGCCTCTGAAAAATTAAGAAAAGAATTGGATATGGTGTGTTTCATTTTTCTTTCAGAGAGTTGTCATGTCTCGAAGTTTGGTGAACTCTGTCTTCAGGCCTCAGATCTCAGTATCTTAAAACCCCTTTTTTTTCCCCTAACTATATTTAAATTCAAGATTAATGGCTGCCCTTGGTTGCTTTCTAAATCCTCCTCCTGTGGGTGAACTGCTTAGAATAGAGAAATAGCTTGCTGACTGAGTTAAAAAAAAAAAAAAAAAAAAAAGCCTTGAGGTGCAGGGTCCTGGAAATAATTATCAAGATAGGCCACAGAATTCTCTTCCTATCTTCTTCAGACAGCTTTTTCCCATCTGTCTATACTAGACTCCAGAAAGAGACAATTCAGCACATATTATGCCAGTGGATGGATCAGAGTTTTAGAGCTTGTTTCCATTGCAGGACAGGTCTTAGAAAAATGTGCACAATTTTATTTTAGAGCTTCTCTAAAGTCAGAAACACTCAGGCTTGTTTTGATCTGAAACCCATCCAGGATTTCATTCTAGGATGGTTCATACCATGAAAAATTTAAAAACCTCTGTCCTCTCATTTTCATGTGGTCATTTGGCTTAATTCTTCAGTTTTCTATAATCACTTACAAGAACCTTAATTGGAATGCAGTACATTGGACCTTTTTTGTAGTGTGGGGATCATTCTGGTTTTAACATTACTTAAATTATAATTATAATTCCCTTTTATTATATTCTGAGGCTCTAGTTTATAATCATTCACGCTTTCAGTCAATTAACTACAAGATGATGAATTAGATTTGAAGTTCATTATTTGTGACATCTGACAGGATCTTGTCCATTTACAGGCAGACTGTTTTTACAGCATAGCGAGTCTGGAAGATATAAAACACATTGGTCCGTTACAGAAATTATGCACTTTCAGTTGTTAGAACTAACAGCATCGGGTACATCTTTTCTGTAGGGTTGTGCTGCTTTTCCCACAAGTTAAATCTAATTTTATTTCTTAAAAGGCAGTTTATTTAACATGATATTCAGTCTATGGTGCAAAACAGGGAAATACTGACTCTTTCATTGCTACAGTTTTCTTTAAAGTTTTATCACTTGCTGCTGCTGTTTTCCCAAGTCATGCCAAAGCGGGAAAATGGTAGTTTCAACTAAAGATAAAATGTATGACCAGCTTGAACCTGTCAGGGATTAGAAATACAAAGGGCACAGTAATATAGATTATTTATTTTAGATTTTACTTATAGTGCTCATTAGAAGATGCTAGTATTTAGAAAAGATTACTTTAATGATACTATCTTATCAGTAGGTCTAGTCATGGAGAAAAGGACTTGTAGAAGACATAATCAACAATCTAATAATAATAGTCATTCTGATCATTCCTATTGTAGACAAGATGCTAACATGCTCTAATTTGTTCAACAATACACAATTCTCACTGTAGAAGGTGGTCTTGTGAAGAATCTGAATATGTTCATGTATGCCAGGAAATTAGGTGTTCTCCTAGGGCAACATCTATATTTCACTGTATTACACTGATTTAATTCAATAATTTAATTGAAGCCAATGTATTTGGTCCTTGATATCACATCCACTAGCAGGAGTTGTTTCTCTGTCAGTTCCAGATGGGCACAGAAGAACAAAACAACCTCTTTCTCCCTAACTCATAAATGAGTTGAATATTTAACCCAGTTTTGTTCAACAGAATCTTCATACTTTTTTCTGGTGTTTTCACTTATTTCTGATTTTTTAAACAGTCTTCTTTATAGGACTTGTTTCATTTTATGAACATCGTCAGGTGTTCTTACAGTGAACTAGCTCATATTTTAAGTAATCTGTCAGAAAAATACTTTGGAGGTTCAATGTTTGTTTTTGTAAGCAATGTCTTGGTTTTGAAGCTTTTCATTGTTTAAAACAGCAGTATTCTCCTATGAACAGTGCTTTTCCAAAGTAGGCAAAGGGAGAAGAAGGTACTAGAGTACACTGCATTGTAAACAATCTTTTGTTGCCTGTAGTACCCATAGCCTCAATTGTAAATAGGAAAGTGATATGAGTATGGAGAGGAGAATGGGCCTTCACTGTTTGCAAGCACATCCCTTGCAAGGTGTGGACTAAGGTGTAGAGCTGTGCAGATGCACTGACATTGGCACAGATGAGAGTTTGCTTATGCCAGAATGCAGGCAGGTTTTAAGATGTATGGGGGGAGGTCAGTCCTCAGAATCATGGCTTTAAGAGGGCTAGACCAGTACTTAAAGTTTGGGAAAGCTGTATGTAGGAAGAAGAAAGTAGGTCCCTTTCTTACTGCGACATTTCAGATTAGCTTGATTGACAGAAGGAAATGAAGACACTGAGCATACATTTCAGGAAATTAGGCCCTGATAATATACAGGGCATGTCATCATTACTTTGTGGTTACATGATGTTTACTCTGCAGTTGAGTATTTACATTGCTGTTGTATTTGTAGCCTGCAAAACAAAGAGACACCAAGAGATCTGGTTGTCTGAGCCTTTATGTAAGCACTCCTTGTGAGTCCAACATACTGCTTTTTAGCATGAGATAAATTAAAAATGCTGGAGCTTAAGTAAAGTAGCTTTATATCCAGGAAATGACTAGCGTTAAGAGCCTTTCAATTAAATGGAGTGTATCTGGATTTGACAGATTTAAATGAAGCTCTTATTGTTATTGA